AAGGTGGGCGAGCCCGCGGGCTTGGGATGCCCGCGCCCCTTGTAGCCCCGGGCCTGACCCAGCCTCCAGGGCCCTCGGATCCCGCTGGGAAGAGGCTGGGCCGCCAACCCGGTCAGCGCCACTTTGGGCCACTTTTAACCCGGCGCTGAGTGCCAGGAGGGTCTCTCAGCTGGGAGATGGGCAGAAACGGGCGGCGTCCCAGCTGTGCCTTCCCTCCTCCAGGCCTCCGGCAGATCTCCCAGAGCAAGGTGGCGGTGCTGCTCCTGGCTGGCGGGCAAGGGACGCGCCTGGGGGTGCCCTACCCCAAGGGCATGTTCGACGTGGGCCTGCCCAGCCACAAGACCCTCTACCAGATCCAGGCAGAGAGGATCCGCAAGGTGGAGCAGCTGGCCGGCGAGAAGTTCGGCGGCTCACACTGCGTGGTGCCCTGGTGGGTCCTGCAGCCCTGGGTGGCTTAAGCAGCGGCCGAAAGGGGTCGTCGGGGGTCCAGGGAAAGGCCGCTCACGTCGGGTTCTGGGTGCGCTTCTCTTGAAGGTACATCATGACCAGCGAGTTCACGCTGGGGCCGACGGAGAAATTCTTCCGGGATCATAATTATTTCAACCTGGAGAAGTCCAACGTGATCATGTTTGAACAGAGAATGTTGCCCGCTGTCACCTTCGGTGGGAAGGCGATCTTGGAAGAGAAGGGCAAGATCGCCATGGCACCAGGTGCGTGGCCTCCTCCCAGGGAGGGCCCTTTTCTGGCGCCGGGTGTGCCTTCCTGAACTTCAGGAACTTGTGCATTCGAATTCCCTCCACTTGTGCAACAGCGATTCCGTGGCGTTGTGGCAGGGTTGTGGCTGTTGAAAGTTCTGGCAAAAAGGATCCGCGGTATGTGGATAGCTGTGATGGACCGAAGGTAAACAGTTGGTAACGCCTTCTGTGACTGGATGGGGTAGAAAGCCGTTGCTTACTCCTGTGTTGCAGATGGCAATGGCGGCTTGTACCGCGCCCTGGTGGACCACAAGGTCTTGGACGACATGCAGCGGCGGGGCGTCCAGTCCATCCACGTCTACTGCGTGGACAACATCCTGGTCAAAATGGCGGATCCCGTCTTCATTGGCTTTTGCCTCTCAAAAGGGGCGGATTGTGGCGCTAAGGTGAGAGTGTCGGGACAGCATTCCCGGAGCCTGGTGGAGTCCAGCCTCCCTGGTGCAGAATCTGACTTGCGATACCGTGTGACCTCTTGATGCTTGTTTGCAGGTGGTGGAGAAAGCCTGCCCCGCGGAGCCCATGGGGGTGGTGTGTTGTGTGGACGGGGTGTTCCAGGTGGTGGAGTACAGCGAGATCTCCGTGGAAACAGCCGAGAAGCGAAATCCTGATGGCCGCTTGGCGTTCAGGGCAGGAAGCATCTGCAACCATTTCTTCACCCTTGGCTTCCTTCGGGAAGTAGCAGAGTAAGTCCTCTGCCCCCCATCGGTATTGGGGGCACTCCAAGAGTGGGGTGACCTGGCCCGGAGCGAAAGCAACAGGAGAGGAGAGAAAGAGATTCGTGAACCCTGATTGGATCCCGAATCCGGGAAGGATCTTGACCAATAGTTAGAACTAGAGAAAGCTCACGGCCTTTAATTTGGACACAGGGTGCTGCGGGAGGTAGTTTAACTGGCCTGCGGAACCTCTAGTCAGCTGTGGGTTACTCGGAAGGGGAAATAACTAAAAGTGCCTGAACAAACCACAGAAATGTCTCCCGAGTAGGACTAAAATTATGAAAGAGTTTTCAGGGAGTTGCCAAAAATAACACGCCGAGTCACGAGAAACTTCTTTTTCCCTTTTCCTTCACCCCCAAACGGCTGAGCCAACATTCCCCCGTCAGCTCTTTTCCCTTCTGCAGCAGGCAAAAGTTTCCAGGCTGCGTGGGATTAAGGCAGAGATGCCTTTGCTGAGCAAAGGAGCTGCTGCTGGTTGGTGTGGGGCCCCAGCTGAGCGGGGGGTGGTCCTGGCCGCTCTGGGGCTGCGCTTCCCAGAGGCGCTTCGCAGGAGCAGGCTGGTCCCCTTCAGGGTGGCTTCCCAGCTTAGGAAGACGGCGGGGCGGGGGGGAGGCTCTCGTGGCCAACGCTGTCGTTTCCTCCCCAGGCGATTTGAGTCGCAGCTGCGGCCTCACGTGGCGGTCAAGAAAGTGCCGTATGTGGACGAGGAAGGCAACTGGGTAAAGCCGCTAGAGCCCAACGGGATAAAGCTGGAGAAGTTTGTGTTTGATGTGTTCCCGTTTGCTAAGTTAGTGGTAGACGCATCTCTCTTTTCTTTTGGCCTGGGGACTCCAAGGCGGCAGCTGAGAGGGGGCTTTGCAGCCTTAGTCTCTGCGCTTACGTTAAGCCTGCAGGAGCGCTGCAGCCCCCCCCACTCTGCAAGTTGCTGATCTGGACGCCCTCCCAACTTAGGAGGCGTCCTGCGGAGATCAGTAACTCACACTGAGGTACGGGGGGCACCTTCTCTCGGAGCTGGTAAATCTGCTCCGTGCGGGGAGAGATTAATTGAGCGGGGTGCAGTCATGCGCATCTGAGCCCGAATTTCACAGAGCAAACAGGTGGGAAGTTTCATCCCCCTTTGGGGGTATCTCTGAGAATGCTAAACATCCATACAAATGTAAATAAACGAAGGGTGATCCAGAGTTATGTGGGTATCGCTTAACTAGCTTGGCAAGTAGAACCACCTTGTACCCAGAATTAAATCACTTGCTTGCCTGCTTTGAGCACCCAACTTTTTATTCCTGGGTTGATAGGAACTTTGTCGCCTTTGAAGTCCCGAGAGAAGAGGAGTTCTCCCCACTGAAAAACGCCGACACGGCTGCCAGAGACACGCCAACCACGGCGCGGCGTTCCATTCTCTCTCAGCATTACCGCTGGGCTGTGAAGGCAGGGGCCAGATTTGTGGCGGGCAACGGGCAGCAGATCCCGGAAAAGGAAAGGTGGGTGTGCCTGGCCTGAGTCTGCCACCTCTGACCGGCACGCTCAGTGGCTCTTGTGCCAGCGTGAGATTTTGAAGGGCGAGGAGGCAAAGTCTTGGGTTCACAGGCGTCGCTGGGTTTCGGCTTCGTGCGTTGTGTGGATCAGCCGTGTGTCTGATTCAACAAACTCAGGCTTTGTGAACCAAGCCAAAGATGGGCTTCTGGAAAGTTTCTTTTACGGGAGGAATGGGAATATTTTAAAATTCAGTTACTATTGATTTGTAAGATCTAATGGCTCTAAGTGGAGCATATCGAAAACCGTAACTATTTACCAGATACCAATAAAAACAGTATGTTAATTATAACCATTTATATAAAAGCCATCCACGTTTAGTGGCAATACTAATCAATTGAATTAGACACATACTTAAATTGGGTCGCAGCTTGCTCGGGTTGTTCTCCCAGTCCCAGATAGTGGATACAGACGTTGCAGGGAACACCGCTTGGTACATTAGGATCTTCATTACCCTCCTCGACCAGCATAAGTTGTCTTTGTATTTTGTGGAGAGCCTTAAACGGTTTTGCTTTCCTCTCTTTCCAGCTTCTCCCCGGACGATGAACCCCCCGCAGTGTGCGAGATCTCGCCTCTCGTCTCTTACTTTGGAGAGGTCAGAAAACTAAGCTCCAGAAGGGTTAAACAGGGAATAATTAAAGGGAATAGCTTTGCTGTTTTTTGCACTGGCTCTGAAATACACGGAGCAGAGTCCTTTGTAAACATTTACTCGTGTGTCCTGCAAAACATGGCAAGAGCCAGAATTCAACAGGAGAATTCAACTTTGCTTGGCACATAAAGGATCCTAATATTGAATTAGGCCTAGTATGCCAATAAACCTAGGAACCCTTCCCCTATTTGTTAAATATTATTTTTTAAAGGCACGTGCTCGGTGCCATAAAGTTAAACAGCAGCCTAGTTAGGCCTCTGCCTGCAAGAAGCCTGAAAAAAGAATTAGGTGAAAAATAATGTGAATGCAGTAAGTAGAAATAGGTGGATATGGGGAAAAGGCACTCTGTGTGCCTAAAGTAGATAGGAAAGAACTGATTTTAAAAATAAGGAGTTTGTGATTGTTGCAGAAGGCAGTGATAATTGAAACAAAATTTCACCATCTTTAACGATTACGACTATGCCAGTTGCATTCTATTTTTTCACACAATTCATCCCTGCCTTTTGGTTTATTCTAGCATTCAGGGTGTCTTAAAACAATCCCCCATATACAGCGTGTCAAACTCTTTTTGCAGGGCCTGGAAAAGCACCTGAAGGGCAAGAACCTTCCATCTCCCTTCCTTCTTGATGAGAGCAAAGCCGAAACTTTGGCAGAATCTTGAGTGAAACAGCCCCAGCTTGGAAAATGACCATTTCTTTTAATGCATACAGCAATTTTTTTAAAAACGGAACTCTGAGAAATAATCGAGAGTGCTTTGAGAATAAAGGCACGTTTACACCCTGGAGGAAGGTAGGAAAAATTACCACCTGAGAATTTTCTTCATATTAAAATGATTTTCAAAAGCAGCCCTGACAACGTGTGTTTCTTACAGATGGCATTCTTAAGAGGTAGGAAGAGCCTTAAACGGAGATTTGATCAAGGAAAGGCGGTTGGGGGTTCCTGGTTCTGGTGACTCAATAACTCTTTTGACTTCAGAGGCCGGATTCTCCCCGTGTCGAGATGCTACGGTCTTCATCCTCCTTAGCAGTATTGTAAGGACCAGGCTTCAAAGGGCAGCAAAGAAGAATATAAAATGAAATAAAACATCGGTCTAGCCAGAGAGGAAACAATACTGGACTTGGGAGGGGTGGCAGGTCCAAAGGAAGCCAGGATTGGGCCTGGAAGCAGACAGCCCAACACCCCCCCTTTCCTCCCTGTGTTTTGGCCTTATAAACTAGCCCTGTAAGGCCAGCAGGTGCCCCCTCTGGGTCTCTGCGCCGATCCGAGAGCCGGGCGCCCTTTCCCTGCAAAGCGGAGCCGGTAAAGCTGCGCGTTGTTCACTTCGCACGTGCCGCTGACTCGCTCTTTGGGATCCGTTCCAGCCCTGGCCACGCCTCTCTTCAGGGCCTGCCCATCGCCAAGCGGAGCCTAGAGGGCGCTGTGGCTACAGACGCCTCCGAGGGGGCGGGGCTGCACGGCCTTATAGCGTGGCCACTCTAGGCCTCCCTCTCTGTGCCGCGGGCAGCAACAGGAAGAAAGATGGCAGCGGGCGGAGGGGAGCTCCGCGGCTCCTGAAGGAAAGCTGTTCGCCGCCATGTACTCGGCGTCTTCCTCTTCGCCTCCGCCGCCGCCGCTCCTGTCGCCCCCCAGGCGGGATTTCATCTCGGTCACGCTCAGCGGCGGGGAG